AGACAACGTACATATGTAAATACGTAATTTTTGTTTCTAGTTCCGAATGTTATACCATTCCGATCTAGCTTTCCGGACGATCATCCGATCTCAACCCGGTACACATTTTCCAGGTGCCAAAAAAAACCAGTTTTTAGATAGATTTTAGAAGTTCCAAACATCAATTTTTTTTTATAATTAGATAGCAAATCGAATGTTATTTTTTTTCGATAAATTTTGTGGATAAATACTTTTTCTACTATTGGCAATCCTTAAGTGCGTCATAATACCCGGCCTTCCCTTATATTATATATATATAGCATATTAAATACAGATAAAGTTTTATATTTTTGATGCCCAAAGATTTTTTGGACCTCCATGATCATGTCCAAGCATGTTCAAACTCTGAGTATTTAAAATAAAATATGTATATGATTATGTTCACCGAATTGCCCTGAATATTTTTGATTAGAAAATTAAAAATGTTTTTTTTTGTTAAAATGTTCAGTATGTTAAGTATTAACTCTCCAATTTTTTATAAAGAAATTTGACATCATTTAAACTCGAGTGTATCGTCTTTATTTAGAAAATAAATTTTCAATTTTGCTTTATTAAAAAAGATTTTTGAAAAAATTCACTTGCGTACGAGCACATATGATATGCGAAAATATAAATGCATATTCCAGTCCACGATTCAAATTTTCTTTTATAACGATGTGGGATATGAATTAATAGTGAACTGATATAAAATTTAATCCTTTACACATTGTAGAATTGACATATATGCACACATATGATGTCGAAAATATATGACCCATATGCTCATCGCATATTTCAGTCCAAATTTTTAATACACGTCCGTATTTTGCCCTGGCGATGCTAGAGAAGATAATCAATATAATCATACTCAACTCTAATTAATGAACGTAATGCAATGTTTATCGTTATGAAGGTATCCATAAACCTAAAGATAATACAAAATATATAATACCATGTAGATTACTTACAAGATCCCTATTTCTATACAATACAGTACTGGTTTGACGTGAATTACTTGACTTACGTTAATGAAAAAAATCAAAATACAAGTTAGTGATTATTTCTATACAATCACCAATTCTTTAATATAAATCGTCAAGTATTGCAAAAACGTCATCATTAACCCATTTAACTTCAGGTAAATCGAATGTTTTTGGTGGAGGTGATGGAGCTGGTGATGGTGTTAAATATATTTTTTTGCTAATTAGATTAATTTATTATTTAACCATAACAAAGTATGCTATATTTAAGATGTAAAAGTTTATTATAAATAGGAAAAACTCAATTATATTTATAATTAAAGAAATACATACGTGAAGTCCAAGTAAATCTCTAATAAAATCTACTAGAAGGTAGCTCATTTCTGAAGGAGTTTTTGGGATTAATCATTCCCAGGCTTGCATTAAACTCACCCCTAGTGCTTGTAATGTACTTGCCGATGCAACGTTTCTACACACTGTTGTGTGAAATTCTCTTTTATCCCCTTTTAGCTTTAATCTATCGATGAATTGCTTCACGTCGGTTGAGGAAAAAGACTTGTCAAAGCTTGATAAAATTTTTCCCGCTTTGTTTTTTGCATTTTCATTAGTGTTGCAGCTGCTTTTGTAACTTAGCAACATTGATCTTATTTCTTCTTTAAGGGTTTCGAACACATCATCAGATATATCAGACTTTGATTCAACGTATTCTAGTAACTTGACAACAGACCAATTCTTGTATTCCGTAATTTTAAAATATTCGTTTAAGATCAATTCGAACATCTTGCAATTAAATAGATATATCGTGAGTAACTTAAGCACGTAGGTATTATATATACACAAATCAATAAAAGATGCATGTCAAAGTCAATGGTATACTGGAAAACAGCATAAGGGAGAATCGCCAGAGACACGCATGCCCAAGGAGACCACCTATAGACTGTTTCCAAAACATCTAACGCAAGACGTAATGGCTGTACGTTAGTAGGTATACACACACCCTGGAAAACAGCATAAAGAAGAATCGCCAGAGGCACGCATGCCCAAGGAGACCATCTATAGTCTGTCTCCAAACATCTAACGCAGGACGTAATGGCCATACGCCAGTAGGGATGTGCATGATTGATGTATAAACGGAATTATACACTTACGCTCAAAGTTACTCGGAAAAACGCAGTAGTTCTAGTGACAATCTACTTATAAAGTCCCTGATCTGCAATCGAAGCGTTATTATATACGTACAGTAATCATAACGTTCAATGTCACACGGAAGTTCATGTATTTTCGCATGATAATTAACCAATCAAATGAAAAGTTTTAAAAGAACGAAATCGAAACAAAATTAAGACTATAATGAATTTAATTTCAGAATAAAACACCAATATTTTACCATGTATATTCTGTTTTTATTTATTTTATTAATTAATGAACTAACTCGAATAGTCATAATTTATAGAAACATAAATAATCTATCTCTGATTTTATATCAAATATATAACGGATAATTCAAGACCCAGACGTACATACTATATAGTCTCTAACTGACAATAACGCGACCCTTATGCTATTTGGAACATGTTATAGATTTATTCGCGTATATATGAAAAAAATCGAAATATATGTGTTAGTTTTTTTATTATAATATATTGTTTCAAGTTTTTAAAAGATTAATTATAAAGCACATAAATAAAAAATCGTATAAACTAATACTTCAACACAGATTACCCTTGTTAAGTCGTTGCTTTTAACTTTTCCTGGTTTTTATTACTCAATGTCCAAAATCTGTAGTTTGATGTTTCGTAATTACTTACTACTTTTATATATATATTTGTAGAGTAACTTGCCGTATAAAGTTGTGGGATTCAGCCGATATATTAAAATACGGCACAAAATCTTCCAAGTTTGCTTAATAACTTATTCACGATAACAAACGACTTTAAAATGTATAAATTACGATTTTCATGAATTGTGTAACGTTAGGGTGTTCATAGTCGGGGTACATATGTGAGGGTTTTTTTACCGGTTTTTTAAATAATTTCGGGAATTTCGGAAAATTAACTAACTTATTATTTTCTTTATTTATCGAACAACTCATTGAATGTTGTTTTGGAACATGGCATTGTTTTAATTTTATATTATTTTTTTAATTCACTAGATAAAGGTACGATTTTTGAGTTAAGAACACAATATTTTTGTGACAAATTTTTTTTATTTTATAGCTTTTACTTTGCTCTTTTTGATGACAACCTTTGTTTTGTAAAATTTAATAAATTTACTATTGTCAAAATTCAAGTAAAATTGGTTTACCCTTTTGTAGAATCAACTACCTATAAAAATGATAAATCAAAACACTGCCATTGTTACATTATTCTAAGCAAGTTAATATCTCTTTTTTCAAAAATTAAACTAGCAATCATTATGTTAGTTCGAAAGAAACCTGTACCGAAAATTACTATTGGCCGCAGTAATTTCGGATTTTCATAAAAATTTTTATCATATGCACTAGTGTAACGTGGTTCTATTTTTAGGTACATCGTTATATATTCTTTGGATTGCTATCCATATATTTTAAAATTAATAGTAATACAATAATTAAAGAAGTTGCCTCAAGTTTGTAAAATCCTAGCAGAACAACTCAGGTTGATACATTATCTAATTTTTTGGCACATTCTTTAATTTTACGAACACACTTATTTTTCGAAATAAATAGAATTCGGAAAGGTGATATAAAAATCAGGTTTTTTATTTTAAAAAATTGCGCGGTCAAATATTTAGATTAAACAGTTTCGGAGAATTCATACACAAAAAAAGGTAGTTTCGTGGTAAAATTGAGTTATGAAATTTTGAATAATCAAAATGAACATTATGAAAAAAAAGTTCATTGAATTTGGTCAGGTGAGTGTCAAGATATCTTCAATCAAAGTTTTGTAAAAATTTGGACATCTATTAAATAGAAGATTATTTTTAAACTTTAATAGAAAATATCTCGACATCCACCTGACCAAATTCGATGAACTTTTTTTTTTTAATTGCTAACACATTGTATGTATCGCATTAGCAAGTAAATTCTATTTTTTACTATAACCCATGGTGCAGCAATTAGAATTCGAATAAAAAAAAGTTTATCGAATTTGATTAGGTGGGTGCCGAGATAACTTCAAACAAATTTTTGTAAAAATTTGGACATCTATCAAATTGAAGCTGCGTTTAAGATTGTTTTTAAACTTTGATCGAAGATATCTCGACACCCATCTGATTAAATTCGATGAACTTTTTTTATTCAAATTCTGGTGATTTCTACAATTAAAAGAAAAAAAAGTTTGGTAAATTTAGTCAGGTGGGTGCCGAGATATCTTTTGATCAAAGGTTTGTAAAAATTTAAACATCTATCAAATAGAAGCTGCGTTAAAGATTGTTTTTAAACTTTGATTGAAGATATCTCGACACCTTGACCAATTCGATGAACTTTTTTTTATTCGAATTCTGGTGATTTCTACAATTAAAAGAAAAAACGTTTATTGAATTTGGTTAGGTGGGTATCAATATATCTTCGATTGAAGTTTAAAGAAAATTAGAAAATTATTAGGTGTGGCATTATCAAAAAAAGGGTATGGAAATATCAATTCCCTATATTAAACTATATAACAATCATTTTCTAACTTATATAACTGTATTTAAAAAAATTTAGAATAAATTTTATTTGGTATAGCAGTCAGGGAATATGTCACGCAGATCGATTTTATATAGTAACGTTACACAAAATTTGATATACTTACTTTTAGAACG